GGAGGCGATTTCAGCCTAAATCCTAAACCCCTCAGCCCTGGAATGAATCCTAAACTTCAAGCCCTCCATGAAGGGTGCGTCCTACAGGGAGCCCCAATCACATCAACTTGCAAGCTCACCCAATGCCTTCAAACCTGTCCCGCAAGATGACGTGCCGAACCCGCAATCCCATCGAAGACTGAAAGTAGTGTATTGTAGTGCAATGCAATGCAATGTAATGTAATGTAATGTATTGTAATGTAATGTTATGTTATGTAATGGCATGTAATGTAATGTGATGTTAATGTAGCAATGAAGCGGTGTAGCAATTTGATGTCTCAATACCTTCGTGTTTAAAAATTTCTTAGTGTGTTTTTGTATTGATGTAGTAATGTATTTATTAATGTAGTAACACAGTAGCACTTCAACCAGTGTGGGTCTGTGTATATATGTCTGTATGCATTGATGGAGGAAGGGATGGATGGATTGTATGGACATCTCTGAGACCAAGGACTTTAGAACCCTATCAAGACTCTCAGAGAAGCTTCTAATGCCCGATCAGAAGCTTGATAAGCCGCCTCGGAAAGACTGAACCCTAAACCCTAAATGTGTGTACCCATCAACAGACCTGTAACTACAGCCCGGCTAACTTGAGCCCAAGCGACATACCCGCATCCCAAACCCAAAACCCCTCAAACCCTAAAACCCCAAGGTTTGGGTTTAGGGTTTTAGGTTTAGGGTTTAGGCCCTAAACCTTTCAACCCTAAACCCTCCTTACACCCGTTCAGTGAACCCGGGCTGAGGCAGCCTCATGTCGGAAAGCTATTCTAATGATGAAGCTCCCTTTTTGCCCTGCGTCAGGGTTTTGGGTTTTGGGTTTAATCGTCATGGGGTGTCGGTGTAGTAGAAGGGAAATGAGAAGCTATATAGCAATCGTGCACCTTTGGGTTCCTTATGACAGTTGGACCACAAGGCCCCCCTAACCTGGTTGAACTCGTTAACTCTGCCCTAAACCTTTAAGCCTTTAAACCTGGGTGAAGAATCCCCATCATCGAAGCCTTGTGCAACTTGCTCGGGGCCCACCCAACACCCTTATAGAACCTGGTAACCCCGCTGCAAAAAAGCCGACGAAATCCGCAAATCCCTTTATGAAACAATTTTTCGACCCTACGCCAAGGTGAAGAACACGTTTCTTCATTTCCAACCAGCGGCTATGTCGTTCCATGGCTTGCGCCGTGAAAGGGTGGCTGGGGACCTTTCGAGGGAGTTCGTTATAATAAAGGATCCTATTACTTTGGGGTCTGTCTTCGACTGCTGGGAGTATGATACCGGTTTTACAGGGTCCTGCATGGGGGCACCATGCGGCTTCTTCGCGGGTTCTAAATTCTAGTCTTGTTTCTTCTTGAGTTGGCTCTACAAGAATAGTGATCAGCCCTAAACCCAAAACCCTAAACCCTATTCAGCGCCTTAAACCCTAAACTCGCTGAAGGGAGCCAAAAACTAAAGCCCAAGGCAAGGCCCAGGCCCCTCCACCCTAAAGCCCCAAAGCCCTTAAAAGGAACCCGGATGGAGCCTTTGCGAGGAATCCCTAAAGGAACCGTTATAGACCCCTCAAAAACAGAACCCTTCAAAGGAACCCTTTTTCAAGGAACCCTTATAGACTTTAGAAAAGGAGCCCCAAAAAGGGGCCCTTCGACGGAACCCTTTGAACGAACCCTTTAAACGAACCCTTTAAAATAACCTTTGCCTTGAACCCCTTGGGGGCAACCCGAGGTTCGCACCTTTGCGTCACACAAAGTCCCTTCCGCTTCTGCTGGAGAAGGATCCGAGATTTCAGGGTTCCGAAAAGGGGTTCCAGTAAAAGAGGGCTATTTTGGGGTTCCTGTTAAAGCCGCTATTGGGGTTCAAGGTTTAGGGCTTGAGGATGCAGTGTTTTGAAGTTTAGGGTTTAGGGTTGTAGCTTTCAGGGTTCATGAAATAATTAGGGATAATGAAGGTCGAGAGCTTTTAGATTGCTAGGGTGTAGGGTTTCAGGTATTTCAGGCTTTCGGTTTTCGGGTTGAGGGCCGTGTGTTGCGGTTTAGATTTCGGTTTAGGGCTTGCTGGTTCACTTTGGATACCATGGATTAGGGTTTAGGGTTTAGGGATGGATTAGGACGAGGGTCTGGCACGTTTGTAGTAATTGTCCTCACGATGCTGGGCTGGGATATCTATATATATATATATGTATACATATGCACATATATATATACATGTGTACCTATGTGTGTATATATGCAGTAGTTTGAATATACGTCACGTCTTTCACGTCTTTCTGGCGTTGGATCCCAATTGGTCGCGGCCCATCGGGCATTTCATTAAGGTGAAACGACGTAGCAAATCACCAGCTGGTCCACTTATTGCGGAGATAGCTGAGTCCTTCGACCTGACCGCGTTCTAGTGTCCGCATCTCTGGCAGCGGAGCAAGGGATGAGCCCAGATCGGGTGGCCGGAAAACGCAAGCAGGTACGCCAAGCCCCCAAATCGGAGGGCAAAGCGTACAAGGTCACAAAAGAAGGTCTCAGTTGCAAGCTGGGAGTGGAAGGTGTTGGCTGAGGAAGCTAGACTGGGTGTCTGCGAGAAGCATTGTAAGGCCTCGAAGCAGAACTCAAAGGCAACGTCATCAAAAGGCCCCTTAAAGGAAGTCGGAGTGGACCCTGCAAGGATGGTGTCCAGGCATTCCGGAAAGGAGAACGTGACGAGATTCTGGCCCGACATAATCGAGAATACGATACCGCTCACATCCAGAGCACTCAACACAAGACCGCTGTCTCGGAAAGTGTGGAGGGGAAGACTGGGTTCGGGACCAACCCGTCGGCGATATCAGAACCTGCGACCCACGACAGGGCAGCAGCCAAGCGAGACTCAAGAGAGGTGGCAGGCAGGGGCAACGCTGTCAGGCAGGCACCGTACATCTCAGCGACAAGCCTTAACCTGGACGCAGTGTGCCAGTGTGCCACACGCTCAAAAAGGCCATCCTAACCTGTTCCCAGAGCTGCGGGTCGGAAGGCATAGTCCAGACCAACGTGGGCAAGGGAATCCCATACCTCAGCAAGAGGTCGCTCGTCTTCCTCAAACCAGGACGACTCGGCGAGCAGAAGAGCGGGACCTTCGGCGCTCAGTGCTGTGTTCAAGGTGATTACATTATTTGAGGTTGGTACCAAAATGGTGCAAGCAACATTGACACTGTCGCCCGGAAAAGACCCCTCGCCCTCGTGTAAGACGACCATGCGTCTTGAAGGCGCGTACCGACCATTGCTGCTCGCCAGCAAAGGTTCGGTTATAAGGGCCACAGAAGTTGCGCTCATCCCGGGAGGGTTGGGGCCGAAGAGGCGAGGAGGCCTCCGGCAATGCGAAGCTACTTAGACAAAAGTCCACGATGGGTCTGTGCCGCAGCCTGCCAAGCCTCTCTTCGGATAGCGCGGATTTGCGCTTTACGCAAGAGGCGCTTCCAAGTTCCCGGTCGCCGCTGCGGAAGGTCTCGCCATGTTGGCCACGTGTCATGCCAGTCGCGAGAGGCTGCAGGGCGGTCGCTGAGCTCCCACGCCACGCCAGGGAATCGTGGACAGCTGTGAGCCACTGGGCCTCCGCATGAACCAGTGCCCAGAATTCAGGAACAGGGTTGACGACACAGGATTGGAGGTGCCGAAGTCTGGCCAGATGCATCTGGAAGGCATGCCCAACAGAGCCACGGCCCGCCTTGACACTAGGTGGCGAGTCTCTTCAACCCTTTATCGGCGGCGCATCATCAGAAGGCCATGGAGAAGGCCATGTGATGGCATGTAGAGGCGAGACTGCCAAGGTCGACAGTGCCAATGCTGCTCCATGTCCCTGCTCTAGGAGCAGGACTGAATTGACAAGGGAAAGAGAACGACTTTAGGGCCAACAAACCACCGGGGAGCCGACAATCTTCTTACGGCGTTTGTTAAAGGTGGTACAAGCTAGAGCCGAACCGTGGCGAACTTCCCGGAGCAAAGCCCCGGTGTGATGGATTAGGCCACCCAGGTGCTTATATGCAGGAGCAAGCTGGATGGCTGCATTCGGCCATAGGGAACTGTGAGCCGGTGCCGCGGCAGGGTCATCTCGGAGAAGCTTGGCTCTCTCGCCTCGGCAACCTTTTAACAGAGGGAAACCACGGCTTCAGTTTTCCCACGGTCGAGGTTGGGTAGACGTGCACGCCCAAGACAACCGTCGATGAGTGCTCCAGTCACAGCGCTTAGCTTGTGGTTGAGGGTGCTGGCCGAGATTGGCCCGGAGGACAAGGGCAGAGTCTTCCATCCAGGTGCAGTCAAGGCTTTGAACAAGACTTTAAGGTTTGGGAGACAATCAATACAAGGTATGAATGACAATCAGGTGTACCTTTACCTGGTTGTGTCCTTGTAGCAACAATGCTGAGCAAGACAACGGTAGTTCTTCAACAACATCTGAGATTGAACGCTCGCAATTTGCAAACGTATGCTCAGGTGGGCGAGGTTATTCTCGAATACCATCGCTCGAGACGTTTGATGAACCCGGTTGGGCAAACTTCGGCGAACGCAGCCTTTCATGGTGGATCACAAGCCCCGATGGACATTGGTGCCTTAGCGGCAGCTTTGTGGAAAGGAAAAGGAAAAGCAAAAGTGCGAAACTTTTCCACTCACAAAGCCGTAAACTAGAATCCAAAATGTTTGACATTGAGTTCTACTGTCTCTTGTCTGAACAGCAGTAGGTGAGTCACTCAACGACTGGGACACGTGGCCACACAAACTATGTCACAAAAGAAAACTTAGCTTGAAAAAGTGCGCTGAGATAGAATGGTCGGCACCTCATAAAAGCGTCTTTCTACCGAATAATTGCACATGCTAACGTACAGCATGCTTGAAGGAGCAGCGGTTCAAGTCCACATGAAGCTAGCACTACGCCACTACGCACAATCAGAACTCACCTGCGACGACGTCTGGTTCTCACAACGGCTGACCCTTGAAGTGTTGCTCTAGGGCAGCATCGTAGGTCAGGCCATGGTACTGGGAAGACGTTGGTTTGCCGTTGGCCTTCATGGTAGAGCGCTGCCCCCCACCATGCTTGCCGAGGTTGATGAGGTTGCCGGGTTGAACTTTGAAGTCCAAGAGCTGTGTCAAAAGTGATGTGCTCCTCCTAGCTCCTGGCAGCGAGAGCTTCTTGAAAAGTCTCCTCCAAGTCTCAAAGCCATTGCTATCCTCGTTTTGTCGAACGATAAATTTGGCCGAATGTTTCACATGTTGCGAAATCAAGTAATGTAGCTTCCGGGAGAAAAGTACGCGGGCTGCTGTTAGCTCGGCATCAATGTCACCTGTATCCAACGTCACATTCACATGCTCATCCAAAAACTAATCGGTTCTTCCCTCTGCATTGTTTAGCAAAGCAAAGTAACAGCACCTGTCTCGAACATGGAGACGTAGGCCTGAAAGTTCCAGGCCCATTCTTCCCAGTTGGCAGGATTGCCGCTGAAAGTCTCAGGCAAGGGAAGCCGAAAGTTTCCTGTAAAGTCTCCTTCGCCTCCTAAGGCCGTGTCTTCTAACCAAAGTTCCTTGGAGCTTGCAGCTCCGCTAGACACATAGACAGACAGACAGACAGACAGACAGACAGACAGACAGACAGACAGACAGACAGACCGACGGACAGACAGATAGACAGACAGACCGACCGACAGACAACAGAGAGACAGACAGGAAAACAAAAACAACA